TTGAAAATTTAGCTATTAATTTCGATTTCATGAGCATATTTTGGTTACACGTTAAGTATTTTTGTGCTTGATGCGATTCAAAATTTGTTGTATATTCAAGCCCGGCTTTTGTTTAATTTTGGTGATGACCGGAACAGAAATAAAGATATTTTAAAAACTGGCCGTGGCCTCACGATAAAACTTTCTACAAATGTTCTCTGTTTCATGTACTTTTATTTGATATCTTGGGTATAAGCGTAAAATAGGGGCTCATACAGTTTAAGAGGTTGTAAAATGCATGACTTGCCTCTATTTTCATGTAAACATTCGAAATTCTTCGACAGCAAGGTAGCAACTGTTTCAGATCGAATGCAGACGGACAGCGCACCAGAGACAATGGCCGGGTACTGAAATAGAACGTCACTAAAAAGTTCTGTATGATTAATTTAGATATCATATCCACTCTTTCAACATAAAACAGTCATTTATTTTGTGTACAAACATTTTGCAATATTTACACGATTGTGCTTTTTTGTAAACACGCGTTGCGTGTATTCCACACAATTGCGTGACTCATTTTACTCGCGCATGCTCAGACAAATTTCCCACCTGTTGAACTGTTTAGTTTAAAATATGTCTTGATTTTTTGTGACGAATAGATTCCTTATTTGCCATCGTTCGTTTTCGTTCATCATGAGGCAGTCATGTTGTCTTTGACTAGGATGACCAACTTGACAACCATTACAGGATTCCACACAAAGTTTTTCAACTTTTGGCTGCAAAGCGCTCCTGTCTTGTCTAGATCGCTTTCTCTCTTCCCGAACGGATAACCCGCGACGCCCGCGCAATGAATATCCTAATCTACCCGTATTTATCCACACAGTAGAAAAATGTAAATCTCTGATAAAAGTTAATCCTTTAATTAGTTTCACCCTAACAACACATAGCAACCGGTGTGCTTTAATATAACTTAAATTTATTAACCTTATCCGAGTTTTAGTACTTTAAAAACCTAACACTAAAATATAGAAATCACTTGACAATTGTATATCATGACCTCTAACTTCCATGTGTTTATATAACTCTGACAGCAACATATTCTCTCCTATGGCAGATCGGGATTAAAATATTAGCTTAATTGTAGATACATAACTCTTTACCGCATGCTATTTCTCAGCGTTTTGACGCTTGATAATATTTATATGTTACTTAACAACAAAACATATAGTTGTGTACCCCGAATATATAAGTTTTAGATATATAACACTAATGCTATTTCATATAGTATCAGATTTTTTACTCCTCTAGGAGCTAAATTAAAAAAATCACTTGACAATAACAGCAAAATGCTATAGCTGCGCTTATAAAACTCCAAACAACAACATATTCTCTTGTATATAGCCCTAATTATTGTATCATACACGTGGGGGGATCCCTAAAAAATGCATAGTCAGCAAATTTCGCCCGATCGTGTTTAAGCTCGCCCGCGTGACGTCATTGCATGTAATTATGACGTATGCTAAGGATAATGCGCCGCCCCGCGCCGCCCCGCGCCGCCCCAAAAAAGGGGGTCGAACGGCCTCTATATTACTACTTATATGATTTCAAGGATGCTTTGAACCGACAAATGAAAACTCACAGTGACAAAGACCACCAGTGTTCGCGTTGCCAGAAAACGTTTAATCGGAAGGTATGTAATTTACAGGAATATATTTCAAAACATAGTAAAGTATTTTGAGCTAATAATATCCACTTATATTATTTCAAGGATGCTTTGAACCGACATACGAAAATGCACGAGTGACGTTGCGCGGAACGGGAATATACTTGTAACGTATGTGGTGAAGTATTCCGCAATATATTCCCGTTCCGCGCCACGTCGCTCGTGCATTTTCGTATGTCGGTTCAAAGCATCCTTGAAATATAAGTAGATATTATTAGCTCAAAATACTTTACTATGTTTTGAAATATATTTCTGTAAATTACATACCTTCCGATTAAACGTTTTGTGGCAACGCGAACACTCGTGGTCTTTGTCACTGTGAGTCATGTGTCGGTTCAAAGCATCCTTGAAATCATATAAATAGATATTATTAACTCAAAATGTTTTATTATGTTTTGAAATATATCCTTGTAAATTACGTACCTTTCGATTAAACTTTTTGCGACAACGCGAACACTGGTGGTTTTTGTCACTGTGAGATTTCATATGTCGGTTGAGGTTGTCCGAACGCGTAAATACGCGACCACATTCATCACAACACAAACTTGGCCCTGTCGGATCGTGTTGCCAATCATTCCATTCCGCAAGAATCTCCTCTTGAGTTTCAGGGGACCAAGGAAATGTGTCCACGGCACAAAGCTGGCGATTAATCTCATCATTTTCCAGTTCGCTCATAAATCGATCTCTCCTGAAAATATACACACAAAAAAAACAACTTGTAGGATTGCCTTAAATACTTAGCTGTAAATAACCAAAGTCAACTTACCACATAATATTTTCTTACCACATATTATATGATTTTAGTTGTCGTCCCAAACAAAACAACCGCCACCAGAAAGTCGAAACTCGAGACTTTACTATTTTAATTCTGAACATTTCCTAATGGACTTGAGTAATCATGCGGAATGGAAATTATTGGACACTAACTTCTGCGCTGACAGGATGTGGGAAACATGGAATATTATTTTCTTGTCAGTTCTAGACAAGTCCCTAGAATTTCTAGATAAGCATGCATCCTCCAATTAGAAAAAAAGAGAGTCAAATGTAAGCCAAATTAATGCAATTAAAAATCCATGCTGCCAAAAACAATTCAGAAAATTACTGGACTACATATATAAAACCTCTACTGAGAAACCGTGTAACCAGTGTACACTGCGAGAAGCAAAAACAGCATATTATAAAGGACAATTTGAATGTGTCAAACATGACCCTAGAAAGCTTGGAAAACCGTTAATAAAATCCTTAACCGGAAAAAACAATGCCATTAAATAAATTGTATCCATACTCAGAATAGTCACATTTCTTGTCCAAATGAATTAGCGGAGTGCCTTAATAATTACTTAATGTTAACACTGACATTAATTTCACGGATTACATTACGAAAACAACAAATAGTTTCAAATTTCAAACAGCATCTGAAACCAAAGTACACAAACTGCGCCAATAATTGCAAATTCACTGACAAGAATTTTTAATGGCTATCACGACAATGTAATTAGTAATTATTGCAAATTTACAACATGATATTAAGAGATCAATTTCCTCTACCTAATTTAATACAGATATCAATACAATTCTTGCTTCATTGTTGTAATTTTATTATTTTAGTTATGCTTCTTGGTATTAATATTAATGAGGTTGTGTTTGTGCTGCATTTCAGGTACTGTAATCACATGTCAAGGCATACCAAGTTCGAGAGCTTATTTTGGGCCGAATATGTTTACCGAATGAACCACTTGGAGCAATAGGAAAAGAATACAGTTACAGATAATTTTATTTTACCAAATCATGTAATTTGGTATTGACAATTGATTGTATACAAAAAGCTGTGTTTTTAAAATGTTGGTCTGCATGTCCCTTTGGTAAGCACAATAAGTGTCCGTCACTGCCATGTGCATCTTTAAACATCCTTGTTAGCAGCAAGTGGGTTCAGCAAAGAAAATTATGGAAAATTTAGCTCTACCAATTGAGAAGTGGATTGGGATGTCCTGTTAACACTCAGGAACATCTTTTAAACCAAACATCAAACAGCGGGAAAGCCAAATGCATGGTGATGCAAGACGTAACAGCATTTGGACGCAATGGAAGAAAAATCAAAATTTAAAAGGATTCTTATTACAAACAAGTAAATCTTGAAAAAGAAATGACTTCACATGACAATTGTATGATGAGGGAAGCCCAGCACAATTTCAATTGTCTAAATATAGAGTATAGTGTATATCTTAACAGTTGGTAGTTCATATTTGATAACTTTTACTTTATAGCCATTTTCCCGAAATGTGGTAGTTTTCGTCTTTGAGAAAAGATAATTATTTACCAATTTGACCAAACTGGCTGAAATTTTCAGTGTTGATAGAGCTCATCATGATAAGTGTTTTGAGTGATAAAATTTAGCATATGTTGTATTGCTGCCATTTTATCGAGGAATTAAATATGCCAGGATTTTTGGAAGAAAATCGAACCAAAATTTTGCAGCAATGCTGTGCAAAAAACTACATGCCGCATAAAAAATTCCATCGCTTAAAACAATCTACTTGCTTTGTAGTCAACAAATAGGTCTTAGTGGTAAAATTTGATTAAAATGGTAAGGCTGTATTTTTTCTCAACTAACGGTGATTTGTATGATACATACAATGTGTTTAATTACTAGATGGCAGGATAAATATTACACGTATTAGAAAGACCTTAGTATTTTTTGAATCTATGTTAAATAAGCTTTCTAATGATATATAGTTTTGTACAGCTATCGAACAAACTTGGCGAGGAATAGGCTTGCAAATGTAGTCAACCGGGATATCTCAAGTTTAGATAGACCTCCACCTTTAAATTCACACGATTGCTAATATGGCACGAATTATATTTACTACCATTTATTTGAAGGAGTTTGTTTCGGCCGTCGTTGTCGCGTGGCCGTCCTAAAATCGTATGGTCTCTATTAAACGCGGGCGCGAGCTGTAACTAGTGTACTTGTCTGCACATTAATCCCTGAGGACTTTCCAATAATTAAGACTAATATATAGATACATGAACACATTCATAATCGCAAGTTCTACATGTAAACGTTTTAATTCATAGTTCATAGTTTTAGCATTTGTATACGTACATTTGCATATTTTCAAGTTTAAATTTTAAGCTTTGTAAACATAGAGGCATAGAGGTTTAGTTTATATAAAAAATACAATCTTTTAGATACATTGATACTGTCAACATGACTATTCCATTTAAGATCAAAACAATACATACAATATACAATACATACATACCAGCGGCGGCGGAACAGATTTCGTTCTGGGGGGGCTAAATTTTTTTCGGCGACCTCTCCCCCCCCCCGTCGCCAAAAAAATTTTGGTCAGTGTACCACTTTAGGGGTATAATATACAAAAAAAGGGACGAAAAAAATTTTTCCGGACTTATATCAAAAATTTTTTCGGAAATACGCTTTTTGTACACAAAATATTGAAAATTTGTCCCCTTATACCTAAATTTTCAAAAAATAACCTAAATTTTTCCCTAATTTTCAAAATTTTTTCGAAAAATTCAAATTTTCTGGGGGGGCTAAGCCCCCCACTTTTACTTCTGGGGGGGGCTTTAGCCCCCCTAGCCCCCCTGTTCCGCCGCCCCTGATACATACATATTTTAATACAAAGACATACAATATTACAATAAACCCAAACTCCATAAACTCACCAAGTCACCATGTATTAATTAGCCTAACTGCCAATTCATCAACGACTATGAGGGACAGTTCGTTTCTGAATGGCGAGCTTTTATTCTTCAACAAGGCAACAAATTCAGGAGACAAAGGCTCAATTTAAGCTTCATCAGCAGACGCATACACAAATATCTGAAAATTGGTTTCCTTGATCCCACTATAAGAATGGCCAAGTTAATATTTCCAAAAGCGATCATCCTTAATGCAAAGTCGTTGGACCGTAACTGTTCATCAATAATGCTACGAAGAGGAACAATTTAAATACTATAATACCCGTATAATACTAGTTGGGCTTGAACAAACTCTTCGAATATCTTCAGCCAACAGGAAACTCTTTCCAAATCCCGTAGGAAGGACAGCTAGAGCATCTCTACCTTCAAGTAGGTACTCTATTGCAAGCGTTTGTTTCTGTAAGCTTGTTGTAAGACTTTCAACTGCATACGTATCAATTTTCGTTGCTTCCCGCTGCCAGATAGATATTAATTTCGGCAAATGTCTGTTTACAGTATAAAGCCAGCTGAGTGATGGGTTTTAATGTTATCAGAATATTTATTGTTTTTTAACCAATCAGAATTTCCCGTTGTCTGTGCAACGGAAAAATCAAACACGCTTGGCAATTAGTTAAAGCGGCAATCCCTCTATTTTTCCTCTCGTCTCCGCCCCTTTTTGCCATTTTCCCGCGCGTTCAATCTTAGTCCGGAAACAATAAAACGAAGGAAAATAGAGGGATTGCTCGCAGTCTATCGAGTTTTATATTAATAAAGCAAGCTAGAATCTAGAAATATTCAAATACAAAAATCTTACCGGTGAATAAAATATTCTTCTGGTACTTTTTTGGAGAATTCTCATACATACGAGCGGCGCTAAAATGCAGTATCAGTTGTAAATCAAGCAAATTGGAAGAAAAATATCAAAATTTTCAGTGAGATTTTTTCCTCAAAAACAAAATTTTTAGGCTCTAACCAGGGGGGTGAAGTACGTTGTCGAAAGCTTAGGATCGCAGTTGGGACAGTGGTAGTTGCTATGAATCTAGGGACCAGTAGTCATGGCAATGGCGTCAGATCCGCCATGTTTTTGGCGACACTTTTTGATGTCGAGCAGGTCCTCCAGTAATATAGTATAGCTCAGTGACAGTGACCCACGCCCGCGATATTTGATGAACTTTAGACTTCGCTAATGATTTCGTTTCACCGGGTGTAAATAGCCGGGGTGAATTAGTACCCTCGCGCGGCGCTTTGCGCCGTCGGTTTGGGAATTAAAATAAAAGAAACATCCGATAACTGTATTTTAGTTTGCAGTTCTTGTACTATTATAACTTTTTATAGTTACATTTACTATTTTATTATATTTCAGAATTGTCAAGTGTATTTAAAAACGAAACTAAAAAATAAAGCTGAAGCAGAGTCATTTTGAGAGGTGCGCAGAAATATTTTAGATTTTGAACGCTTTTGATCGCAAATACGTGAAAATGGAAAACAATTGCTTCTTCTAAATATGTAAAATGTTAAAGCATCACTAAAAGCTATATGAATTGATTTCCTCTTCATGCTCAATAAAAATTTTGATTAAAATCGAACTTTGATCTAACCACTAGTCCGTGCCACAGATCTTTGTAATGGTAAGGTCTGTGACACATGCATAGGCTATCCAACCAATGGTAATTTTAATGGATAATTTTAGGTCATCATCTACCTATACTACCTTGCAGGCTTTTAGTTGGTTTATTATACAATGAAAGACAACAAAACTATAGAAATCATCTTTCTAAAGAACAAGTCACGAACAATAATGAACATTTTTGTTTCATGAAAGCCGAATCACAAAACATGGTCATTTGGTAGATCTTTACCCGTTTTAGAATGTAAAATTCTTACTATATTATTGGTTATTATAGATTTTCCTTACGGTAAATTAATAAAAACGATGATGTTTGGTATTTGGTTTGTTCGTTAATGATGTTTAGTATTGGTCAAAAGCTCAAAAAACCGTGTTTCTATAACTCGATATAGAAACACGGAAATCTTCGCGTGGGTTGAGTGGATTGCGCGAGAGATTAAACGGACAAAATACAAACAATATTTAATATTCAAAAAAGTTGGAAAACGTGCGAAAACGCTGATCCGAAGAATTTAACGGTCCAAGCACAATGTACAAAGTACAATACAACAGCATACGTTGTATCTGTTACTTTTATAATACCAAGGTATAAGATATTTTAATTTTACTTTGACTTTTTCATGTTTACTATCGTTTTAATCGTTTCTAATCATGTTTAGTATAATTACATAGGTGATTATTGAAAATTCTCCACGCTGATTGGTTGCCGTTGAGGTAATTATAACGCCTCTGCATAACGCGATAATCCATACGCAATTTTCAAAATGGCGGCCGAAGCAGTTTTGTCAATTAAATGACGAAGAAATGTGTATTTTTTACTTTTTTCCAAATAATCACCTATGAAATTAGACTAAAACAATTATTGACCTCAGGCTCGGTGATTATCGTGAATAAAAACCTGGACTTCATCTCAGTTTTTATTCACTGAAAATCAACTCGCCTTCGGCGAATAATTGTTAATTAGTATAGGTAATTGCATGGTTTCGAGTGCAATTTGGATATAACATGCACGAGTGAGTTTTTCAAAGACCTCAAAATAGCACGAGTCCGAAGGACGAGTGCTATTTGAGGTCTTTGAAAAACTCACGAGTGCATGTTTATTCAAATTTCACGAGAAACCATGCTATTACTTAATAATTTACATAAAAATGTTCGAGACAATTGTAGTTTTAACTTACGCATTTATAGCGAACATTCCACTGGCAAAGTTTTCCTGGCTTTGTTTTATCACATTATACAATGCTAACAGCTTGAAAATTCCACTCAACTGTGTATTTTTTGTTAGTCTTGTTTAAGGTAAATGCTTTTCCATTTAAAAATAAAGATAAAAGCCATATTTTCCACGCGAAGGCAACTTTTACTTTGTGTAGCGCGGCGCCATGTTTGTTTTGTTTTGAGGCAGTCTGTGACCGTTACTTCTTTAAAACTAAACTGTCTTAAACTGATTGGTTGATTTAATCATCACAATGTTTTTCCCGCAGATCAGTTTGTTACAGATTTTTGCACTGTGGTTACAGAAAATTGCACTGTGATTACAAAAAATTGCACTGTGATTACAGAAAATTGCACTGTGATTACAGAAAATTGCAATGTTGTTTGGGATTAACTGCACTGAAATCAACCAATCACAGTCGAGTAATATCATTATGTATATTATTTATACTGCTAACTATTTAAAACAGTACTTTCTTTGCAAGTATGTTGTTATTGTGTTGTGACCCTGTTATAAAGCGCTTTAACAGTGGTATACTTGTTTTATATTTGCCAAATAGCATCGCGGCTATGCTTTAATTAATCTTTACACGAACGTGTAAGATGACCTGTAAGTTTTTAAAAGAATATTTAATAAAGGAAATAGAAAACATTTTTTCCGTGTTCCTATAGAGTTATAGAAACGCTTGGTAACCATAATGGCGGTTTGAGTCCGCAAGGCCGTCGGAAGTAAATCAATTGAGTTGGGGGGGGGGGGGGGGGGGGG